TTAAATTGAGAGGTTGCATAAATGAGACAACATAAGTACTTTTTGGAACAAAACGCTAACTACAAGTAGAATCTACTTAGTACAAGAAGAATCTAAAAAATATTTTTTCCAGAACTGTCAGATCTCCTTAGATTGAGTTGGTATTTAAAAGTAATTTTACTTGTCTTTTCAGAATCTACCTTTTGATATTTCCAAACGTTACAAGCTAACAGCCTATTTCATTGTGTTTGTGGGCTCTGGGCTATCAGCACCATTCCTTATCACACGTCATCAACTTCTGAAGAAGTAAAGTATACTTGATTTTGTTTATAATATTTTAATAATTTTTAATAACAATTGAAAGCTACATTAACACAACTCTTAGTTCCTGAATTTTATTGGTGAAAAATTAAATTTGATTTTTTTTTACTACTTTTTTTATCATTGTAAATCTAAAATATTTGGTATATGATATCTTCATCATGTAAATTTTATGTTATAATAACAGGCCTACAGATATATTTAGTGCACATGAGATTTTAATAAATATGTAGTTTTTCATTAATATTTAGTACTAATACATTACACTTAGTACTAGTACTAGTACATTATATAATTTTTTAGGTATTTAAACTGCAACTCATAAAAAAGCAGTAAAAATATAAACTAACCGTATTTTTAATTTTGCTAATCTTTTAAAATGTATGTATCCTGTGACCAATGGTATTTATCTTATGTATTAATCTTATACATTTTTATTACAGGTAAATTCACCTATGTCATAGTATCTGAAAAAATGTATTTGTTAAGGTAGAAAACCATATTTAATCATAATAAAGTCTAAGGCTTATTTATGTTATTTTACTAATTTCTTTCCTTCTTGTGACAGTTGACTTTCATTTCGAAAAAGAATAAAAGGTTCATTAGCTATGGAGCTGGTGGCATAGCCAAATTCCACAAGCTTGATATATATAGCCTTCTTGAATAGAATCTGACCCTGTGTGCACTGCATCATTTAATAGGAGTATGATGACTGTTGACTCATTAATCACTGTCTGGGAATGAGAACTGGATAATTTTTTTAAGAGGCACGCGGTTTTCGTTTGCAAATACTTTTTATCGATAGAGAAACATTATAAAAAAAGTGAGTACTAAATAACTTATAGGCGGGTACACGTCGATTTTGAGAAAAAGTAATTGATATGAGTGTCGTCGCCTCGCTTTGTGGGCGCATTAGTATTTCAAATTGTACATCTAATGAATACCGTTAAACCGTACTGGATGCGAGGCCGCCTCATCTAACCGTTCAGCCGCGATGCCCGCCAAAAAGGCAACTGCAGCTGCCCAACCTTAACCAGAATTCGCCGCCGAGCGAAAAATTAAGCCACCGCTTCCAATAATAATTCAAGAGAAGGCAAATTGGCATCAAGTATGCTCGTGGCTCGAACGCCACAACATCCGCGACTCCCGGTCGAAGAATACACATATGGGTATCCGCGTGTACCTAGATACAACGGACGACTTCCGCCGCGTAACTCAGTACTTACGCGAAAATAAGGTAGGTTTCGTTTTAGTTAGTATCTTGTATTAACTGATTAGAGATGGGTTGTATCGCTTTTTCTGAGAACCGTATCTGAATCAGATTTCGATTTCAAATATCAAAATTCGAAACTATGTATTTTAATATCTAGATATTATGCATTAGCGTATCCACCTTAAATTCATAAAAAAAAAAGTGAGTGACAATAAAGTAAAACAGTAAAGTAACAGCCTATACATGTCCCACTGCTGGGCAAAGGCCTCCTCTATACAGAGGGTATCAGGGCATAGTCCACCACGCAGCCTCACTGCGGATTGGTGGACTTCACATACCTTCGAAATTTTTTTTTGTTATTATTTCGAAAATATGCAGGTTTCCTCACGATGTTTTCCTTCACCGCGGAGCACGTGATAAGTCAGCACATAAAGTTAAAAACTTCATTGGTGCCGGCACCGGGGATCGAACTCAGGTTGCTCGAGTATATAGAATTAAAGGCGAGCGCTCGGACACTGAGCTATCACGGCTACGAGTGACAATATTTTTATTAATTAATAACGTTCAATATTATAATTCAGGGCGGAAGAATTTAAAATATACACACAAGACATAAACCTTGGCCTGACGTCCACCAATGCAGCACGGAATTATTAAATTATATTTTTCCTTTTCGTTTTGTGTACTTTTTTTTTTCAAAAATGCGATTAAAATTTAATTCCTAAAAATTTTTCTTCCTTAATTTAGGAAGAAAATTCCTAAGATGGCATCCCTTACTATTACGTGCTTAAGTATCAACGCACTCCAGGTCAAGGCTAAACAAAATTTAAAGACATCGTTAATACCATGATTCGTGTTTAAATGAAACAGAGTTTTTTCCATGCTTTTAAAATTCAAAATTGCTTAACTTATTCATAAAATCTGTTTGAAAATCTGATATTGTGCATTTTTGCCGTACCCCTCTAACTAGTGATAATATTTGTATCTCACGCGCTTTGTCGCTCGCTACGGCTTAAGGCTAATGCTAAATAAAAGAATTAAAAAATGCAACCAAACGCGTTTTCGACCTATACCGGTCGGAATCGAACCGAATCCTACTTCGACGCCTTCAGCTAGTAGTCAAAGATCGTGTATCGGAACACCGACATACCACGTGGGACACTCTCCTAGAGGACATCGAACCATCGCACACCGCCAACTGGCGGTTGGTTCACAGTCTGACAGCAAGCCCCCGCGAGTCTCTACCGCCGTTAGTTAGACCTAATATCGCTTCAGCAGCCCTAGATGACTCCGAAAAAGCCGAATGCCTTGCGGACAACCGAGAGCAACAATGTAAGCCATCGCGCAAACACGTGTGGACCAACACAACGCGTACACAAGGTACACCCGCGTTCCGGGGTGGTTCTCACCGCTCCCAGCCACCGATTAGCTAATTGCACAGTCGACAGCCATCGGGGTTTTGGTCCGAACCGCGACCTCGATGGCCCTTAGATGACACACCATAGTAAAACGCACGCATGAGCACATGCGCAGCCCGACCCACAGCGGAGGGCTCAAACCCGTGGGTTCTGGCTAGCCCACCGGTTCTGCGTCAGATGAAGCTTTAATAGTCTCGGGACTGAAAGCAAAAACATCAGTTAACACAGGATACAAGGATTAACAAATAAACTGAGTTAGCCCAGCAGAGGATTTTTCACAAATATTTAAAAAACCGGAAACATGTTTTTGTTATGTTGAATATTAAGCGTTTGGATGAAACAATATGTCCTTGGCAACACTGAATAACTGAATTTTTCTGTCTCTTCAGTTAGGGATGTCAAAAGTGAAAAAATATATTTTGATTTTGTATCGATATATTGGTTCCAAATATATCGAATGAAAATATCGGTATATAAAATCAAAAATATCGATAGTTTTTCGATATTCATATCATTAGTTTGGGATGTCGAAAAAGTATCACTCGAGTGGCCCTATTGTAAACAATTACCCCTAATCTCTCAGATTGTAAAAGTGTTTTTTTTTTTTAGATTATTTTAGTTTTTGATACAGATACGATAATCAGCGCAAGTAGTTCAGACGACATAAATGTCTTTATACAATTATCAAATTGTAGTATACCATAATTATAGTACTAAATGCAACTCTGCATGCGCGACAATACTAATTATAGACCACAGTATTTTTCGTTCATTTTAATCTTTCACGGCTTTGAATCAGTTTGAAAAAAAAAAATCGTTTTTGGTACGATTTCGATATTCAATTTTATATCGATATATCAGATCAAAAATATCGATATATCGACATTCCGAAAAATATCGACCAATATAGACCGATTTAGATCAGATGTATAATTTGTATAAAAGTACTCTTTGATATAGATACTTTCCCTATATACAAAAGTACTCTGACTACTCTGTGTACTTTACCTAACGTTGGCCTAAAGGTCCTTGATACCGGGCCATAAAATCCAAAAAAAAAAAAAACTTTACCTACCGTGTTTATTTTAGAATGTATAGATGTTTATTTTCATAGAATAACTTTGTATCAAACGTAAACGTAGTGATTACATTCTCTTTGCTTTGTATACTTGAGATACTTAATATACTTTGTTTATTTTAGCTTCAGATGTAATTCTAGCTAATGTCATTGCTTGTAAATAAAATATTGGTTTATTCATCACTTCTTTTTTTTATCAAAATATATATATATGAAGAACTCATAGTCTATTTTGTATTTTTTTAATGTTAATTTCCATATTAATTCTTGCTTCATAACAAAAATTACATGAGTGCTTTGCAACCGAGTTTCGCCGGCAATTTTAATAATGTCTGAAACGTCGTGCTACATCTTGGATAATGGGGGTTATACAGCAAAAGTGGGGTTTTCCACTATGGAACCAAAAATTGTACCTAATTGTATAATGAAGGCAAAATCAGAACGGCGCCGTCCATTTATTGGGTCCCAAATTGATGAATGCAGGGATGCTTCAGGCCTTTTCTACATCTTACCTTTTCAGAAAGGCTTTCTTGTTAATTGGGACACACAGAAGACTGTGTGGGATTATATTTTTAGTAAAGAATGTTGTCCAGTAAATTTTAGTGAAGTACCTCTTATAATAACAGAACCCTTGTTTAATTTTTCCTCCATCCAAGAGGCTGTAACTGAAATTTTCTTCGAAGAATATGAGTGCCAAACACTTTTAAGAATAAATGCTACAGATTTAGCAGAATATCATTACAGAAAACTGAATAGGAATGAGAGCACTTTAGTAGTGGACTCTGGATACAGTTATACGTACATAGTCCCTTATATTAAAGGTAAGAAATACAAGGAAGGTATTAGAAGAATAGATGTTGGTGGTAAAGTATTGACAAATCATTTAAAAGAAATTTTATCATATAGGCAGTTAAATGTAATGGATGAAACATATGTTATAAATCAAGTCAAGGAAGATTCTTGCTTTGTCTCCCAAGATTTTATTAGAGACATGGAAATTGCCAAAAAGAAAGGTATGTAACTGTTCATTGTTGTTTTTTTAATTGGATTTTATGGCTTTTGATCCAACTAATGAGTTAAATAAAATCTTGTACTCACAACTAAATATCTAGGGATTTTATATTATAATGAGGCCTAAATTTATTCAAAACTACTTTCTTATGACTAAATATACATCTTCAATTATAAGTTAAAAAAAAAGAGTCAAAAGACCACTAATAAACTGTGATAAAGAAATTATGAATTGTGTTTTAGTAGGACCATATATTTTTGGTTCTCCATTATAATTTTGAGAAATACTCAATTGTTTATCTAGAAGATGGATCAACAATAATCAAATTACTTTTTTTTTACTGAATAAACACTCATTCATATTAATAAACAACTGTCTACTAATTTCAAAAACCTCGTAAGGTACACATTTAGGGTTTTTCAGGAATGAATAAAAACTGCTTCATGCACAAAAGAAACAAGTTTTAAAGGAATTTTTTAAGTTTAATTTTGTATGTGTTGTATAAAATTTAAATATTAAAAATTTATAACTTAAAGAATTATACAGTGTGTTGTTACAACTGTGACAATAAATGGATGGATTTTTTTAATGCTTATATTTTTTTATGATTATTGGCAAGTAGCGTTAGACGTGTGTTCATTTATTGTCGCGGTTGTAACGATACGCTGTATAACATATGGAATAATGTCATCCCGTAAAACTTCTTTGCGGTGCAGTAAGTTCTGCCCATTACAGTACGGTTTTCTTTATGCCATTTTGGAGCGACAATAATACTTCCATGTTTTGTGTTCAATCACTGGTCACATAAGTATTCACGCCATTGACGATTCTAGCAATGAACATTTTGTACATGGTCTTATTTGAAGAGGACGGAATGTATTGAGTTGTTTTTACCCAGGTTACCAAAAAAATAAACATGGAAAAAATGTGACCTAAAAGGTTTTTGAAATGATCCATTCAATTATGATTAGATTAGGAATAAACTTTTGTCCTTCAAGGTCCCACAGGTATGGGTCTTGAACACATCTGTTATTGATGTCAGTACTTAATTATTTAATAAAATACATTTATTTTCACGCAGGGCCAGAAAACACCATTGTAAAAGACTATGTGTTACCTGACTACACGACCATTCGACGCGGATACTTACGTGATATTGTGAAACCTGACGAAGATTTAGAACAGCAAACTTTACGTCTCAACAATGAAAGATTTTCAATACCAGAATTGCTTTTCCATCCCTCAGATGTTGGTATACCACAAATGGGAATACCAGAGGCGATAATACATTCAATAGATGCATGCCCCCAAGAGAATAAAGAAAGTTTACTAGAGAACATTATAATGTATGGAGGATGCACACTTTTTCCTGGCTTTAGAGATAGAGTATTTAATGAAGTGCGAGCATTTGCGCTTGATCACTTTGATGTTAATGTTACTCTTGCTGATAATCCTTTAACATATGCATGGGAAGGCGGAAAGGATATATTTAGAGACCCTGAATTTTATTCATTTTGCATAACAAAGGAAGAGTATGAAGAGGAAGGGAAAGCTTTAGCATTTGAAAGATTCGATATATAACGGCGTAAACGAGCTAGGAAATCTTCGGAGTAGATTCCTAGCTCGGTAAACCAATGTTGGCTTAATGGGAATGATTTGTAGTTCCAATTTTAAGACTAGCGCCCGGTTTCTGAAACACTGATCATCATAGACAAACGTAAACTCTCTGAATTTAAAATGATCTTCTAATGATCAGAACGATCAATCCAAAGAGTTTAACCATCCTTTTGGCAACTAAAATGAAATTTGAAAACCATTTGACAGCTGATTAGTTGACATCTACGACGATCAGTGTTTCAGAAACCGGCTGTTAGTCTCATCATAGTCTTTGTGGTATGAAAATGGAACAGAATGAGTTTTTGCAATGGCTATTGTGAAAATAGAATTTTATGGAGCTTTAGAATATTTAAGAATAATTAAATGTTTTATATTTTTCCCTGGTCACAAAATTTGTTAATTAAGTTATTGTCAATAGAGGCAAACCTAAAAGATAAAATTGTGTTTGAATCATGATGAAGAATTGAGAAACAATATATTTACCTCACACACATGATTCTTCATAAAAAAAATGTACTTTATATTACCGCACTTTGATTAAGTAAATGTTATTGAATGAATAACTTAATAAAAAATATTACTACTTCAATCGTTTTATTATTGCAATAAGGCATACATTTAGTAGCAACTTAAATTCTATATAAGAAGTGTTTTTATGACAAATCAAAATAACGTAGTACATTAAAAATTTTAATTGATAAGAAAGTACCACTTAACCAAATGTGTATTTTAGACAAATTTTAAATTATTTATTTAAGACAAACATATTTTCATACTTTAGCAAGACACATTATAAAATAATGTAGTTATTACACATAATGACTAAATTAAATAAGCAGCAAGCTATAGATTTTGGAAACATTTTATGGTATTTATTGAACATTTTGTGTAATATTTTTAAATTAATTTTAATAAATGAATATATTTAACGAAACACTCCATATCTTTTATGGTCATTCAGTAATGAAAGCAAGATAGATTGTTGTGGCTGTATATAGTACAGTAATGTATTTCTTTTTCCATATCCTCATAACTGGGTTAAATTTTTTCCTTATTGTAATCTTTATAAAATTTGAAATAGTTTTATAGATACATTCCTGATGGATACATAGATGACTGTTCCCATCAAATAAACAAAATTGTTAAAATAACAAAAAAGCTTTTCTTGGACATTCATACCAAATGCAATAAACAAAATTCATTTTGCAACTAAAATACAACATTTTAAATGATATTAATAGCATGTTTTAGTTCGCATCTATTCCATTCCATCAGCCGGTGACCTTACATCATCAATTTTAAGGATCATCTTGACCAGCTGTGTGGCGAGAGCTATCTGTTGTTTCTTAGAGTGAAGAGACTCTATAACATTCATTGCCTTCATATCATTTGAACCTGAAAATAAATAATATGGCCATTTAGCTCAGTCGATTAGAGCAACTAGGCACATTACACAAAAGAAACAGGCTACAATTTAAAAATGCATACAAATTCTATGCTAAGAACAATAACTTTTGAACACAGCATGACTCTTCATGATTACTCTTCTTGAATTGTTTTATATATTAAACGAGAGTTTCTATACATTCTACAAAACAAGACTAAAGAGGTATTGACAATATTTGTTTTGCACAACCAATACATCTTATATTATCTTATATTAACTGATGTTTTTGCTTTCAGTCCCAAGACTATTAAAGCTTCATCTGACGCAGAACCGGTGGCTAGCCAGAACGGGTTTGGGCCACGCATGTGCTCATTGCGTGCGTTTAAGTATGGTGTGTCATCTAAGGGCCATCGAAGTCGCGGTTCGGACCGAAACCCCGATGGCCGTCCACTGTGCAATTAGCTAATCGATGGCTGGGGGCGGTGAGAACCGCCCCGGAACGCGGGTGTACCTTGTGTACGCGTTGTGTTGGTCTCGCCGTGCTCGGAGGCGAGGGCGAACTAGTGTGTTTGTTGTTGCACTAACTGTGGGTGTAGTGTTGTCCGGCGGGACCCCCGGCGGTGGGTCCGACGTATCTAAGTCCCCTTCCTCGACCGGGTCGATTAGGACGTTTCGCGGGCGACGCTTGTTGACGTTCGCGTTTGTGTCGGGTTGGTAATTTGCTGCGCTTACCACCAGAGGGTTGGGATGATGTTCGGCTCTATCGAATAACCGTCTGCTTTCTTTAAAATATTCGCGAATCGTCGGGAGTCTGCAATCGCTGTGCAGGCACCGGTTGCGCGGCAGATTACTTTATTTTGTACTATTTGCAACTTGTACAAGCGAGTAGGGTGCGTGTGGGCGAAGGTCATGCATGCGTAAGACATAATAGGTCGTACGCAGGTCTTATATAATAATAATAAGTGCCTTAAGGGCATTTTACTTTTAGCGTTAGTTACAATTGTGTAGCCGGCCGGAGACGAACGCGGCTCTATTGTGAACGTTATTAATGTGCGTAGTAAATGACATACGCGAGTCGAAAGTGACTCGTAAGTATTTAACCTTTTTCTCCCAGGGGAGCGGTTGGCCATAAAGGGATATTTGCCCCAACTTTCTGCATTGACGAGGGCCATTATAAAGATGTGACGGGTAAGTACTTCGTGTGAAGTGAATCGCTACACTCTTTTCGGGATTTATTTCTATTCTCCATTTGCGGAACCAATCGCCGGGGCGGTCGGCGGCGCTTTGGAGGCGAGTGGTTAGTTGTCTAAGGTGAATCAGAATAAAAGAGCGCCGTGTCATCCGCAAAAAGCGCGAGATTGACGTGGTCTTGGACCCTTTAGGTATATCGCTCGTGTAGAGCGTAAAGAGCAATCCAATACATTCAAAAGCTTTTGATTATAAGAGGAATGGTGATACATCAACTTTCTAATATTTTTGTCAAAATATAGCTTCTGAATAAATTTCAATTTTCATTTTAATTTTTTTCTTCACTTTATTTCAGCAAAGTACTGTAAGTAAATGATTTTCATAATGTTTTACCTGATCCCATGCAGTCAACTCCCAGATTGCTGTTATTCTCAGTGACTTGCCTTGCCTTGACTTCAGATAGAGTATCAATTGGAGACAAACCACTGTGGATTAAAGTTTCCATATATTCTTATAGCTTAAATCATTATATGAATCAAAAAACCATTGACATTAAAAATACTAAGTAGTAGGTACTGAATTATATTGAATTAAGAATAAATTGTGGAAGCAACATTGGTTATATTGCTTCCACAACTCAACAAATCTAAGTTCATAATATGTTGAAAACCATCAAAAGATTTACGCTGTTAATAATTTCACAATAGTCAATTTATCACAAAATGTATTAAGCACTACATGTATACCACAAGTCAATTGATGTGTACTGTTACAAAAGTTGGAAGTGTTATAATAAAGGATATGAGGGTTGGTTCTATTAACTCTAAATCAACTGTTCTCAGAAAAGTTTCTTATATTAAAAGGTGCAAAATGAAGCAATTACCTGTTTTCGGCTAATGCGAGTGGGATTGCTTCAAGTGCATCTGCAAAACCTCTGAAAGAATATTGATCAAGTGACGACAACTTCTCTGCCGCACGCGCCACTGCCAGTGAACACGATATCTCAGACGCCCCTCCTCCATAAACAACGCGGGAATCCTAGAGCATATTAAATACTTGACAATAAAAACCATTATTCATAATTGACAGAAATATCTGAAAATAATGGTATACACAATCATAAAAATGTGTAAAAATTAGTATTTATTTGTGACATATTACTTTTTTGCTTGTAGTAGATATTCAAATTCAAAATTACGTTTAAATTTAACTTTAATAACAATGGGTTTAATAAACTTTCTTTATTTTTATTTAATAATCATCATCATCATTTCAGCCTGTTTGAGTCCACTGCTGAACATAGGCCTCCCCCACAGACTGCCACGAAGTACGATCCTGGATAATAATCTTTCTCTGGAAATAAGAAATTTCTAATATGTATGTACAAACAGTTTCTTAAAAAACGCATAGTAAGTGTATATATATATATAAAGAAATTTAGAACATAAAAACTTTCAGATCCTTTGGAAGTACATAATTTGAGTTTTTCGTTTAATGCATATTTTGAGAGGAAATTTAAGTTACCTGCACGAGACTGCGCACAATACATAGCGCATCGTGCACGGAGCGTTTGGCTTCATCCACGATCATACGGTTGCCGCCTCGCACCAGAGCGGTCACCGCGCGTGAATTCGAACATTGCTCGATTACCAACATCTCATCTTTGGATGTGCCAAAAGCTAGGGTGGAAAAATGGTTTATATTAATAGATAACCTGTGTGTAGTTTTTATTTGGTTCAGTGCCCAAATAAAAACTACATAGATATTATCAATTAAAAAGCTTTTCGACCATATGAAACAATGGTACTGTAAAATAGATTAAGAGAAATGATGATGACTGTAAGTTTATATATAGTGAAAAAAAAATCCCCCAAGCCCGAGTCGGACTTGTGTGTGAAGGGTTCCGTAGGTACTTTTTAAGCACGATATAAAATGCGGCGCCGCGGGTGAAAAGCTAGTAGATATTATAAGGGATACTTCAACATATTCCAGATACAAGAATTCAAGCTATTAAGTGTTTTGAACATAGACTACTCACTGAGTTCACGAACAAGCCCACATGAGCCGAGCTTGTCGGGTGTGAGCTCTTCGAAGCGAGGCACGATGCGGCCGCCTGTCGCGATCGCTATCAGCTCCATCTCGGGGCCGTGCACCCATCGCACGGCGGGCAGGCCTTGCGATAGAAGCAAGTGGTTCGCCTCGTCGTCGAAACCGAACTGACAGATGGCCAATGTAGCACCAGTGTCCTGGAAATTTTATAAGTTGAACCTTCTTTGAATCAAGTACTACATTCATGATTGCTTATTTTTGCAGCCAGAATATCAGTCAATTTGCAGTAAGGAAACAAAATAATGTTGGAGAGAAATGTCAGGTATATTATGTTATTCGCAGTTGGATACTTCAGTTTTATTAGTAATTTCATTAGTGTCAATACACAATGTGAGAATTTTGAGGCATCATAAGCATCCAAAGTTTTTAAAGATACATAAAAATAGAAAATGAATGGCTTAGGAATTATTGTCAGATGAAACATAAAATAAATGCACGAAAATTTATATTTTACATTTTGTGACATTATTTTACTATTTATTACACTTACAAATAATTTGTGGACATCAATTTTTTTTTTAAATTAACTATCACAAACACATTCACAAGCATCAATTAACTAATCAAGATAAATTTCTTTGATTCAGTTGGACAATCAGGAGAACCAATCAATAGCAAGAATATGAGTCTCAAAAAATATTGAAGTGCAGTACAATTACAGAAGGTTTGGAATGATGGAAATTAGTTGAATCTGAAGTGAAGCAGAGTAACAACCAGTTTCTGAAACACTGAAGTTAACTAATCATCCTGGTCATTAAGATCATTCTGATCAATTCAGAGAGTTTAATCATCCTCCCACCCTTTTGGCAACTTAAATAACATTTGAAAAGCCATTTGAAATCTGAAACCTATTACCATGCTCAAAACCAAAAACAAAGCATTCTGAGTTAAAGTATCAGCCTATACATGTCCCACTGCTGGGCAAAGGCCTCCTCTGTACAGAGGGTATCAGGGCATAGTCTCCACGCGGCCCCACTGCGGATTGGCGGACTTCACATATCTTCGAAATATTTCTTTTCATATTCCCTCACGACATTTCCTTCACCACTGAGCATGTTGATAAGTCAGCACTTGAAATTAACAATTTCATTGGTGCCGGCACCAGGGATCAAACTCAGTTTGCTCGAGTATATAAAATTAAAATTTTTGAGCGGCTCAAGCATTATGAGTATATCTTTATTCAGTTTTTAAACATTATAGTTACATTTAATAAGTTTTGGAAGACATATTCAAATTCAACCAACCTTTACGCGACGCACAATTTCCAAGAACTTGTCATGCTCATACTGGCGCAATTCTCGGTACTCTTCTACTGAGCCAACATGCAATTTGTGTGTAGTTTTAGGCTTAGGAGGTTCAAATGGGCATGTAAGAATTGCTAACTTGACATCCTGTAAAAAATTGGAAATATAGGCATTGTAAAAAGTTTAAAAGCCTTTATTGTATTCACACAAGGTATTAATACATAAATCAGTAATGTGATATTTCCACATTTTTCTTTCATTCATTTCAGTTTCATTTCAAAAAGTTTTGTCATTGCATATAGATATAACTTGAAATAATTTGTAGGTATGTTAAACAAATAGTTCTATTATATATAGCAAACACATATATATATATATATATATATATATATATGCATAGAATATTAAATGTACCTTTAAAACTTTAGGCATCTGTGGATGGCTCATAGTCTTGTCAATAACAACACCACGCACAAGCATTGAATCCTCCATACGACCTCCAACTTTGCCTTCAACTTTGATAAGTTCAAAATTTACATCTCGTTTTTCTAGATCTGCTACTGAAAGAACAGCCTGTAAATTTCAATTAACAAATATTAAAATAGAATAAAATTATGGAAGTAATACATCAATTAAATATACTACGCCTAAGACTTACATCAACAGCTATTTCTGCCATCAAACGGTGACATTTAACCACAACCTTACTACCAAGAGTTGTCATTGCAACCTTAATGAGATGTTCTCGGGTATCTTTATTCACTGGGAAAGCTTCACTAATAGAGTCTAAGTGTGCTAGAGCTGTTGCTGCTGCCATTTCAAACCCATCGGCAATGCGTATTGGATGAATACCTTTGTCAATCAGGATGGATGCCTGTTCCAAAAGTGCACCTGCACAATAATAAAATGAGCAAATATTATAACTACCACTTCACCCAAAGGTTTTAAACGATTTACCAAGTAATGCCTACCTGCAAGAACAACAACTCCCGTGGTGCCGTCACCAATCTCATCATCCTGGCTCTGTGATAGTTGAACCATGAGTTTGCCAATTTGATGTTCAACATCCATAAGTTTCAAAATGGTTGCTCCATCATTAGTTACAGTGACATCACCATCTTGAGAAACCATCATTTTATCAAGGCCACGGGGGCCCAAAGATGTGCGCAATATGCTAGCAATTTGCTGGGCAGCTTGAATATGAGACTAGAACAAAATAATTTATTACAGAAATATGTTTTAAGTTTTGTTAAATTACTTTTCTAAAAATCAGAGATTTCACATAGACTAAGTTAAACCACAGTTAAAATTATTCTGAAATGTATATTGTCCCAAATATCACAAAAATAAAAATTTAAGTATTAATGATTTGTTTTTGATATTGTTATCAAAAACAAGGCATTAATTCTTGTATCATATTATGACAGTAATCCCCTACTAAATTTGATATTTAAATTAAAAATTAACCTAAATGAACTTCCAGATTGTGAATAAATAAATAATGGACAGTGAACTTTATGGCATGCACTAGGTGTAAGGAAGATTTTTTGAAACTAAAATAATGTAAAAAAATATTTTTGAACGGTTCTGTTTTGTTTTCGTTGATCATGGCAAATACACTTAACCATAATTGCAATAAATCTACTGAAGGGTATAATTCAATTGTTACATTATCTTTAAAATGTAACAATATTAAAATATGTCAAAAATGCTTTCCGTTGGATACAATTGGAATCATGGAAATTAATTGCATGGTATTATAAAAAAAATATTTGGTTGATATTATTTAAAGAACTAGATTTTTAATGAGTAGTAAATACAATAATAAATTATAAAGAGTAGTATACTTATAATTATTAATACAAAATAAACATTTGGTCGTATAAAATCTAAAATATCATTGATAAATATCGAAAAACTGATCATGTGACTGCAAGCATCTGATTCATAAAATGTAAATAACTCGTAAAATAAACAACTAATGTACAATTAAGAGAATTTACATGGATAAGATGACAAAAAAAGAATTAAAGTGGGATACTATTTAATAATAATTCAATTAAAATACTAGAAATATATTTAAAACAAGTGAATACAAACAATAGACCGAAATTATTAATGTATATAAAGTGTCAAAAAATATATTATTTGTTATCACTGACAAAATTAATCCTTCTAAGGTAAATAAATTTAAGTTAGAAGATCTATTTAATACAAAAAATTTGAAATAAGTACCTTTAAAGCATCTATGCCGGTGAGCCGTTTTTGTCTTTCTTGGTCTCTTATAATTATAAATGGACGCCCAAATTCATCAAAAGCAACTGTGCCTGGAAACATTGCCATTTTTCTATATTGTTTTGTTAACTTAAAACCAAGATGAAAACAGATGTAATGTATGAATCAAGTTCTCATATATTTTTATTCATCAATGTATATTGTCAATTGTCATTCAGTGATCAGTCTAAGTTTGACGTTTTAAATACCATAGACCACAGATTAACTAGTTAACTACATCGTTATTGTACAATCTATGCTGAAACTAAATCAGTTTTTCTTTTTTTTGTTAAATGTTTTGTTTGTGAAACCTCAAATCGTAGAACATCTCGTTACCTCCACGGAATCTGCCCGATGGCAGCATAGCGTTTGAAAACGATGAAACAGCTGATGCCTCGCGGACAGCCTCGAGCTTCTTAGCTCGTCTAGCACGCGTCATACTAAATCCTGGCCATATGAGCAAAGTGGACGCGGAAATGAAAAGAAGTTGCCCGGTTCCACCTCCAGACCTTCCTCGCGAAAATACTTCGGGCGATATGGTTAAGTCTACTGTCAAGAACTTCATATCCCGCTCCGCGCTTGGCCCTGACTTTATCCCGTGTACATTACCCAAACAGTCCCCATCCGAGTCGAATTCGCCGATTGACCTTAGCGTCGAAATTGGAGTTCCCTTTTTTTTTACGTGGGAAAAATCCTTTATGGATCCCTCGCCGCCTTGTGGGTAGGCAGCAGGGGTATGTGGGAGTTACGAGGTACCCACCAAAAAACCCACGTTGCACCTGCGCTGTCGCTTTGCCAGGAACACAGGAAAACGAAAACGCAATCTTCCGCGATCCCCGGCGCGACTGTGGCCTTCTCAGGCCTCCTCTCCCCGGGTGCTTAGACACCCGATCCAGCCAAATGGTGCCGTGTCGGTGCAATGAACACGGCACCATTACACGGCACATAGGCCAGCCTCCTGCACCCTGGTCTCCGACGGCGGATTTCCAGGGGCGCAGGTGCCTCCCTTTCTCTCTCTGCGGCCCCTTTTCGGGTGGATATGTCCTCGCAGAATGCAAGGACGGCACCCCACGACCTCTCGCTGTCCACCAAGGCACGGACCACAGCGGGTAGGGAGAGATCGTGCCCCACGATAGCTATCAGCTCTCGGCGCTGCTCCCACCAGGCTGGGCACTCCTCCAGTGCGTGTTGGGCCATCTCCTCGGCACATACGTCGCAGTGGAGGCAAAGCGCTGTTGGCTCCCTCCCTGCTAAGTGGCACAGGTACCTCCCAAAACAGCCATGTCCCGAGAGAACCTTCGTCGCCTGGCAGGTGAGGGTGCCGTGACGCCTGTCTAGCCACCGACCGAGTACCGGACGTATGGCCTCTATGGTTCTTAGGCAGCACTGGGGTGCTCCAGCCTCTGCTCCCACTCGGCGATAGCGAGTGAGCGCAGCCTTAGTCACGTACAGCCGTAGTTAAGGGGTGCACCCTTCAAATCCTCTAAGACTGGCAGGTTACCCCGGGCTATTGCTTCCTCGCGTCAGAATTGCTGTGACGCGAGGATACTGGCTTACTTAACCGAAAAAATCCAATGGCAAATTGGACTTCCGAACTATCCTAGGTAAATATACTCGTCAACAACTTCGACTAGTTTTCCTAGTAACAACCTGTGTAGGCCTACATTAGAAAAGATTTTCGACTTGTCCATATTTATTTTAAGGCCCAACCGTCAGTCAATACATTAGTTAGACTGTTATATTTCTCAGTTCAAATAACTCACGAGACGAACGAATGTTACAATTTGCAAGATCGTAAGTTTAAAATAATTTTAACAGCTTAAAATCTGGCCTTGCTCTTCGATGCACGACTTCACCGTCGTCGTCGGCTTTCAAAAGCTAATAAGCGATCGTAAAAAATAAATACATACATATTATTGAATAGTATGAATGATAAAAAAAATTACATAATGAAAAGGAACAATTTATGTAATTTTGACCATATTTATATGTATTCTTTTACTTTTTTTATTAAAGAAATACTTTAATAATATTAGAGACGCAAGAAAACATATTGTGGTATTAACCAATTAATATGCAATGTCTTACAGGCAGATGTAGAGAAAAAGGCATCCAAGGTTTATAAATTCATATTCCTAGACCTCTCATTCCATCTTTACATTTTGTTTTGGGCTCTAGATATCTTTTTTGGTTTACAGGAAATATGTTTTCTAATAAATAATAATCTGTCCATATTGTTGTACAAGTTAGTTTTATATTGAATAAGATTAATAGTACCTAAACATGAAACTGATCTGGGACTTTTTTAAAGGTGCCCAAATTTACAGAGGTTCAGACTCGGTAGTATAATCGTGTATTGAAATAAAAACAAATTTTTTTTTTTTTCAGAAAATATTACGAATTTATCATTTTTTAAATAACACTAGCGACCCGCCCCGGATTCGCACGGGTGCAATGTATTATACATAATTTAAACCTGCCTCTTAAATCACTCCATCTAGCAAAAAATTATTACAAATTGACAAATATTGACATTAATATTTATACGATACTAACGTCACTCAATGAATCAATTGCAAAGAGTACTTTTGTATATCTGAAATCAATTGTTTTATACTTAATTAAATATCAATTGTTTTGTTGCCTTCTCGGAAACCTTCATTATCACAAAATTTTATGGTATGGTATTTAAAGTTCAAATTGACTTTTATTAGTCTTAAACTTTTGTATGGGAATATAGAAAAGTGTTGTTTTTACTTTTTTAGGCAATTTTTTAAATTTTTTCTCCGTAAGAACCATCCTCAATTCAAGGGATATTATAAAAAAAGAATTAGCGAAATCGGTGCAGCTGTTCTAGAGATTTGCGCTTAGCAACACATTCAGTGATTCATTTTTATATGTATAGATTGTCTAGAATTTAATTAAAAAATAATGGATACACTTGTATGGATACAATAAAATAATTTTATAAATAGTGTATTTACTAGCTAATAGAGCTTTTTATACCTTAAGGCCTGTAAATCCACCAAAGCAGAGACTATATTATGTAGTATGTAATAAGGTTGAAGTAATGTAGATTTCTTAATTTAACAGTTTCAAATAATTTAGATTTTCGCTCCGTAATTCACCAAAGTGGAGAAGAGACGAGAGATGTGTTTTGAATATATTTGAAACTATTAAATTAGGACATCTACATTACTTTCATCTTATTACATACATAATACATTGAAACAATTATCTACATATATTTCACATGGCTGTTGAGGTATTAAAATTAATAAAAGTGAAACATTTGCTATTAAGACGATAAAATGAAACCAAGGTTTTGATTTTAAGATATAACTGTGGTGTTTTAATGTATTCTGAAGTAAATAACTATTTACATTCCCATGTCCATTCAATACATCACCATACTCAAAGTACCTCTGTTGCCAAAGGTCGACTTTGGGATTTTAATTTCAGGTTATTAATGACCAGTTGACAAATATTAACCATAAATTGTTTTAAATCAACTAGTATTGTTAATAGAGACTTATGAGCTAGGAACATTTTAAAGTAATTCTTGTGACTATTTACTGCTTTTACATTGTCAGCTCCTGTAAAATGAGAAGTATTATTAATAAAACATGAAAGAATAATTTGAAATGGTTAATGACTGAAATTATCACATTTGTAAATTACAATTAAAAAACGTAAAAAAATAAAGCAGTTACTGAGATATTACTTCAAAAACTTTATGGAGGAACAAAAACTACATACCATGATAGCGTTGACAATATCTGATTGGTTATTGCGTAATGCACGAACCGCCCGCGCCCTTGATACATTGGCTTGGATCATTACAATTTCTACATCCTTTTCATCTACTCCCGATTCATCCACACCCTCCTCATCTTCTTCTTCTGCTATCGGTGCAACCGTCTGAAGATGATAAATTTATAAGAAAGTGTAATAAAAAAAATACAAGAAGTTTTGTTAAAATGACGATTAAAAACTTACTGTGCCTGTAGCAGTAGCATCATTTCCAGAAGCAGCTGTTTCTGGAGCCTTGAACCTCTCAGCAGCGGCCATGGTTGCCTGCTGTGACAGATCTTCAATTTTGGCTTCCCCAAACACTATGTAGGTGTCAGAATGTGGGTTTTTGTACACATCCGGTGAGTTGATCACAAACAAAATGTTCTTTGATTTCCTGATTGTAACCCTGCTTACACCTTGTACCTGAAAAATTAAACATAACTAATAAACCTTCTTTTTTTGGCTAAATAGTAGAAAATAACAACTCAGTAGTTCGGCTTCAGCATACATCTTGAAAAATTTTTTTGATTGTACAGTAGTTTCAGAAGTATATTGAATGTGCAAGCCAACATGGTTATTAGTACAAAAGTAGACATTAAAATATTTCCCCACTCTGCTGCTTATTTTATTTATTGCAATTCCTTTAATACAGAATGTGTTCTGCCTATTGTGAGGCGGACTTAATACCTCTAGGCACTCTCTGCCAGTCAACCTATGCTTATTAATCAAATTGTGTGCTGGTGCCATACTTTTGCATTTTATCTGTTATGTATTTTTTTTCCCATATGTATGCTATGGAAGTTTAAGGGCTACAGTAAATACCATCATAAATTTATACACATATTGTAGATATAATAATGAAATAGTCATGTGATGTGTTGAAACAAATTATTTTTCAGTCCCCTTTTTATAAAAATATGGATTATTACAATTTGCAACAAATGGTAAATAGTAATCTATTTGCAAAAAAAAAAAGGAAAAGCTACTTGCAAAGTGTGGCAAAAGGATGGCATGTATGTTTATTTAGGCTCAAGCTTGACATGTATTTGGGAGATACACAGAGAGAACATTACATTGTACATGGGAGATACACAGAGAGAACATTAACATTAACAGAATTATTGCCCATTACTTTATTCATTAGTTGGATATTTACATTAATGATTGTATTGATTAAAATGCTTACTAAGTAGGAAAACATAACCAGCAGAAAATATACAATATAGAATAATCTTAGAAACCTACTTACAGGCTTCAAACCAAGCTTGCTCATGATCTTGCGTGCCTTCTTTTCCCCTCGTGATTGCTTAGCCTTCGAAACAATATCAATTCCAGCTATTGGGTTAGTTATCCCACCAGCTCCTGGTGCTCCTAACCATTGAAATTATAAAATATTAAGTTTAATATAATTGAATATATAGTAAGAAAACTAAGGTCACAGATTTGAAAAGCTATGATAACAAAGGTACAAATTCTCTCCCACAAATGTATTTGCATAAACATGCAAAAATAGTACATTTTTTCCATTTAGATAAGGTTTATTTTTGTACACTAATTCAATGAAAAATATAAAAATAATGACTTAATAATTGCAGATATAAATAGTCAGATATTATATATATATAATAACAAATTACTTCCAAATTTTTAATAAAAAGAATATAAGGCTACTGTTCAATAACTGTTTTAACCTGCATCCTCCAGTTCGGGAATAGTATCATCAGAATCACTGTCAGAGGAGGCAGTCTCTTCCTTGCGTTTCTCGGTCATAGATGCTGTTGCTTTGTCCAATTCAGTAAGTTCAGGCATTTTGGATGTTTTTGTGGTTTCTAAAAAAGTGAAAAATCCTGCCATGAATAAAAATTCATGATAAAAAATAAGATTAAACTGCTGAATATTTTCCTAAACTAAGTAATTTTCGATTAAGGTATACAAAATGCGAATGTGATTACTGTAGCAGAAATTCGGTCAAGAAATTTAATGATGTAGGTAGCTATTTGCAGTAAGAGGAGTAATACTTCATAATTTTTGATAAAATAATGCATTTTACAAAATGAACCAAACTTCAACGAAAATACTTAAAAATTGGAATAAATCTAAACTTATAGTGATTAGGAAATTGAAGGAAATTTAGCTTCGCAGTAGAAAAACCCGCAAAGATGGTCGAAACTAAAAATATATAATACCGGTAGCAACAAAAAACGAATGAAACCAGTATTAAAATCAGTAACAATATGAAATAGCACTATATTTTACACTTTAAACATATGATTTGATAAATTGAATTGGATTTATTACCGTATTTAATATAACACAATTTTTAAAATGAGACCGTCAAGTGACTCAAGTGTCAATATTAATCGATTTGACATAAAAGATTTTTGTCTATGTTATGACCAGAGATTATAAAAAAGGCAGTGTTGCCAACTACAAAAAAAAGTGCCAAATTTAAAAAGCCAATAACCCTAGATGCAGATAAAGTTTTGAAAGCCATAAAAGAAACCCTGTATCGTATTCAGAATTTCAAAAATATTGTTTAAATGTTTTGTATGACGTGTTTTGTTAAGGTAATATATATATACTGCATATATATATATATATATATATATATATATATATATATATATATATACTGCATTAGTGATTGGACTTCAGGCCAAAGCCTATGTAGTAATATTTTAAATTATTCCACCCTAAATTGAAATATCTATTGAATGTACGTCTTACTCAAAAAAATTGGTGCTTATATTTTGTTAAAGTAATTTATTAAACAATAATAAACAGTCAACTTAACGCAGAAGTATACTATGGGATTAGCGCTACGTTTACGCTAGGGGGCTAGGGGCACTCGAGACTAATATCTAACCTAGTGCCCAGGGCGACAAACCAGGTCCATTAAATTTCAGAGGTCCAGAAAAAAACTTTTAAAATCGGTATGAAGTCAAAATTATTTTCCGAACTTAAAATAAATAAGATTCAGTATGTTCAAAATTATAAACATGATTTAGTTGCATAACCAAAACTGAGAAAAAAGGTTTGTTAATTGTACGCTACATATCAACAAAATTATGGAAGAGTTGCCTTTAGCAATGATCGTGGCTGCTCAGGGGTATAAACAAAACAAAATTTTGAATTGTAAAGTTTCGGTACATGGGCGGCATTTTTAACAGCGTTTAGGGGGACCGCTAGTATTGAATCTAGCCCTATATTAGGGAATAGCTGCTTCCCACGACTACGTCTGCGTAGAATAGGCTTCAGCCGTAACATTCAGACAGAACGACAGATATACATAAAATATATATATATATATATATAACTTATAGCCTATGTGTTATTCTGACGTATAAGCTATTGTAAAGTTTCATTAAAATCCATTAAGTAGTATTTTTTTTATGTGAGAAAGTGGCAAACCAGTTGGCGGTTCACCTGATGTTAAGTGATAACCACCTGCCTATGGACATTTGCAACACCCGTAGGGTTGCCGATGCGTTGCCACCTCTTAATAATGTGGACCCCGGGTACCTCACTCATCATTCGAAACGCAGAAGTGCAACACTTCTAATTTAAGCCGGCCTTTTGTGTGGTCGTGGTACTAACCTGGACGGAACTGCCCATTAGTGCAACAGCGAACACTGTTACGTGACCCTACCACCGTTAGAATTTGCGTGAAAGAGTAACAAACATCCATTCATACTTAGAAACTTTAATTCGCCTTTATAATATCAGTAAGGATGTGGTAAAAGCATCAATATATCGATATTTTTAACCGATATATTTTGATCCGATATGACATACATCGATACGAAATATTAAATATCGTAAATCGTATAAAAATGATATATTTCTTATTCTAATCCGGGGCACAGAGTATTTGACGTCTATAGCGTCAAAATTGCTATTTAGTTTTTAATATTTTGTAATTTTGCCTTTGAAATTTATTTTTGGAAAGAAAGAATTTGAAAAGTGTACCGATATATCATTATTCTCTCCTCGATGCATCGAGATCTCTAATAATATTTTAATAAACACCAATATTTTTCTTCACTTTCGACAGCCGTATCCTGTATAGGATTTTATAACACTACTAGCTGTCCCGGCAAACGTTGTTCTGCCATATAAATTATTTCTAGGGAATTTGTAGGGTAGAAAAAACTGTTCAGAGAGGACCACCCTAAAATTTAGGGGGATGAAAAATAGATTTTGTCCGATTCTCCACCCTGGCCACTATGCACATAAAATTTCACGAAAATCAGTCGAGCTGTTTGGGAAGAGTTCAATTAAAAACACCGTGACACGAGAATTTTATACAGCGTGTCGTTACCATCGCGACAATAAATGAACACACATATAGGGGATAACTTTTTAAAGTTGTATTAAACATTTAAATTCTTTAAACATCAATATTTACAGAGTTATTAAATTTTCCAAAACAAAGAATTTTAGAACATCCTTACCTATAAAAGCGTAAAGTAAAGTTCATTTGTAAAGGTCACAAAGCATATGAATGGGTTGAATGAATTTAAAAGAGACAAAACATACTGTTAGAAGGAGAGGCTTGTAATACGACGCTGTGGCGCGAGTTGTATAGGATGTTACAAATTTTGTTTCTTTTTTGCTTAATTAGTTTGTTTGAAAAGCTTTTTTTTTAATTATGGACTTTGTTTAACGTTAATATTTTTTTATGATTATTGGTAAGTAACGTTAGACGTGTCTTCATTTATTGTCGCGATGGTAACGACACGCTGTATATTAGATAAATAATATACGTTCATGTTAACGTACCGTACTCCAAATAATGTGAATTTCCATACTTACAAATTACAATTTGTCACTTTATTTAATTTGTTTGAAAGTATTCCTCTTCTAAAAATTTCCATTAAAAAAATATTGTACTAGACTTAAAATCGTTTCCTCGTATTTGTATTGAATTATATTATGACTAAATGTATAAAACGAATGTATACATTTCAAAAATAATTGAAATTAATTAAATAATTATTTAATACATAATCAGTAATATGATGATTCGACGGAGCGAATCGATTTTATTGAGATTGCTTGATATATATTATGTTATTGATTTACCGACATCCCTAAATTTCAATTGATTATTTAGCAATATCATTTTAGGTTTTTTTACTGTGTTAAGTGATTAAAGATGTGTTTTTCACCTATTTTTGAAATGTAAGAAATATTCTTAATCCTATGTAAAGACAAAAAATTCTCTACTTAATTCTGTTAGATGATTCTTGATTCAGTCTGCGATAGCATTGTAAACATGTCAGTTGTTCGACAGTGATAATTCTCATCTAGTGGTGATTATTTCAAGTCCAAAGTGCGTATTAAAATTCTGAAGTTGTTGTGATTGTGTCGAAATGTCTTTGGACGAAAAGTTTAACGCTGCTGTTAATGTTATTAGGAGCCTGCCAAAAAGTGGTACGTTTTTTCTCTAATTAGTTTCTTAATAACATTTACGACAATTCTATATTAGTGTTCACTGTAATTTTATTCAATGTTAATTTCATCATTAAGGAGTACATTATTTTTCGTTTAAACTAAACATTGTCAGCGATTAGAACTACATTAGTTAGTTCTTTTAAAAATAGGTCTGCTCCCAAAAACTTTACTGTTTCATACTCTTTATTATTCTGATACATGAATAAAATTTGGACAATATAATTATTGCAAAGGAATAATACAGAACTTTATTAAAATTGTTTTTAAAGTAAATAGTGGTAAAGGTAAATAACTTTAACTCCGGCGTAATTCAAATGAAATAAATTTTAAACGATAGAGATAAATCTCTAATGAATTAATCAACAAGCAGAATTCGGCGGTCGCTTATAGTTTTCGAGAAAAAAAATATTTAAAACATGTTTTTTGTACTAAGAAATCCACCATTTTATTCGTTTGACTTTAAAAGTTCTTTACACAGTTCTGCCAACATGATAAATATAGGAAGCGGGCGACATCATACACGTATCGATATTTCGAGTTTTTAAATTTAATGAGTCACAGAACCGACACAGAACGAATCCGACTCGGATAGATTAGGTTAGAAGGTTCAGGCGGGAGCGGAGCTCCCGCCTTAACCTTCGATGTTAGGTTTTTTTTTATGACCACCAAGAAATACGAGCTGAATTGACATATTGACAACACAAAACGGCGGATTTCTATAGTAAAAATCACACTATTTCATTATTTATTTTTTCGAAAACTATAAGCGACCGCCAAATTCTGCTTGTTGATAAATTCATAAGTGAGTTTTCTCTATCGTTTAAAATTTATTTGATTTGAATTACGCCGGAGTTAAAGTTATTTACATTTACCTAAATAGTATGTCGTATGTGTATGTAGTGTATAGGTATTTAATTATAAATGTCTGAGAATTTAATATTAAATTATACTGTATATTGACAAATACTAAGAAGATAGGTAGTAAAAACACATCTTTATAACACGCTGTTGAATATAGGGTACACAAACATTATTTTAGCAAATCTTCAATAATGTAGGTAATGCATGAGCATTAGCATTAATGACGTTAATTTTATCATAAAACATAAGCTCTCTATTGTGTTGTTTAATTTACTAAATTTAACATACATAATTATGTAACATACATAATTATCTAGTATGATTTGTAGCTCAGATAGAACCTTATAATTTTGATCAATAGTTTAATCAAATTACACTCTTTTTAAAAAACAATCTGGACTATTGGGAGACTATATAATCTGACAAATTCGATAGTCCAACAATGCCCTGCAAAATGTTTGTTGGTTTGGGGGGTCCACTGTTTTACTTCATGATCATCATTTCAGCTTGTAAAAGTCCATAGCTGACCAGAATATTACTTAGCCAAAGTTATATGATTTCCATTACTTGAAGATAGTTTTGAATGAATATTTTGGTTAACTGGGTTTTATTTGTATGACTTTCCATCGAGAGGGTGTACTACCATCCCTTAAAAGGAAAAGTTGCGGTGCCCCCTATGTAACTCCGGCTTTATAAAAACAGTCTATGGGTAGGCCAGACTTGTACCTGGTTGAGTCGGGGTCAAATAATTCTGTACTTTAACATAAGTTGAACCTAAACTATTGTATTTGAAGACTACAGGGGGAAAATGAGGAATGTCAGTAAAATGTAAAAAATGCAAAAAATTTTTAGTATTATGGTGTGTATAAGTGTTATTTTTGTATTTGGCATTAATTCGGTAATGGCAAATCAATGTGGTGTAAGGAAACATACAAATCGGAATAATATAAAAGTTCACAGTTCAAAAATGTAATATAATGTGTGTTTTTCAATTTTTTTTATCTCAAAAACTACTTGTCTCCGCATGTTGAAACTTTTAGTATGTAAATGCTTATAATAATGGTAATCTTTCTGTAAAAGAAATATCAACCTGAATGAAAACTGAGTTGTTTTGTTTTCTCTGTATCATTTATTATACATTAAACTAGATTCAATGTGTATGTATGAATGGATGTTTGTTACTCTTTCATGCAAATACTACGAATGGATTTTAATGAAACTTTACAATCATATAGCTTATGTATCAGAATAAGGCATAGGCTATAAATTATATACATTTTTTTATGTACCTATATCTGATGTTACGCCTTCAGCCTATTCTACACAGAAGCAGTCGCGGGAAGCAGCTAGTACTTAATAAACTTTGACATATTTTGTTTTATAATTAACATGCTTAGTAGGTTTCAGTATATTTTTTAATTTATTACGTTTTAATTCTGTGTTGAGAATATAGAATTTATTTTTATTTTAATGATAAATAAAAGTGAAATAAACATTCTTGATTCAATTGACCATTAGAATTAGAATTTATTCTAAAATACAAACTCTCGTCACTAGGTCATCATTGCATCTGTCGCCATATTTACATTTTTTCACAGTAACAAATAATTTAGATGAATTATTTTCAGTAAATACAAATGATTTTGTGAAAACCCCAAAACAAGAAAAACCTCAAAAAAAGAACTTAAGTATAAGTCAGTTACATGTATCATGCCTTTTTTTTACGTGGGAAAAATCCAAAATATGTGGGAGTTACGAGGTACCCCCTAAAAACCAACATTGCACCTGCGCTGTCCGTTTGCCGGGGACACAGGAACACGAAAATGCAATCTTCCGCGAACCCCGGCGCGACTGTGGCCTTCTGAGGCCTCCTCTCCCCGGGTGTTTAGACACCCGATCCAGCCAAATGGTGCAATGAACACGGCACCCCTCTCAAGCCCACCGCGGGGCACCAGTTAGTCCCGCATCTGCTGCCCCGGGGCTCGCTATCAGGGGGGAAGGTTGCGCGCGTAGGCCAGCCTCCTGCGCCATGGTCTCCGGCGGCGGATTTCCAGGGTGGCAGTTGCCTCCCTTTCTCTCTCCGCGGCCTCCTTCCAGGTGATTATGTCCTCGCAGAATGCAAGGACGGCACCCCACGACCTCTCGCTGACCACCATAGCGCGAACCACAGCGGGTAGCGAGAGATCGTGCCCCAAGATAGCTATCAGCTCTCGGCGCTGCTCCTGCCAGGCTGGGCACTCCTCCAGTGCGTGCTGGGTGTCAAACCGCTGTTGGCTCCCTCCCCGCCAAGTGGCACAGGTACCTCTCAAAACAGCCATGTCCCGAGAGAACCTGCGTCGCCCGGTAGGTGAGGGTGCCGTGATGTCTGTCCAGCCACCGACTGAGTACCGGAGGTATGGCCTCTATGGTTCTTAGGTCGGCACTGGGGTGCTCCAGCCTCTGCTCCCACTCTGCGATAGCGAGTGAGCGCAGCCTTAGTCTGCACCCCTTCAACTCCTCTGAGGCTGGCAGGTGACCCCGTGCAATAATATATACAGCTATATAATAAATGTACGGATTAGATACTACAGATTAGGATTTAAAGAAATCAGTTGTTAATACTATTCTTCCTACAATATTCAATAAAATATTCTACAAGCAATATGCTCTCCTATTTTTGAAGCTACACACTGTTTTAATTATTAATTAAATACTTAACATAATGAGATTGTTTTGTAAACGTTTATATAAACTAGCTGCTGCCAGCGACTACGTCTGCGTAGAGGGGTGAAAATTTTAGGGTTTTATGTATTTTTTTATGCTGTATCATAAAAAAATAAAAACAAAAAAATTTATCAAAAAAATAAAAAAATGTTTAGAGGTGGACCACCCTTAACATTTAGGGGGATGAAAAATAGATGTCGTCCTATTCTCCACTCTGGCCGACATGCATACAAAATTTCACGAAAATCGGTCGAGCCATTTCGGAGGAGTTCAATTACAAACACCGTGACACGAGAATTTTATATATAAGATTATAACAGGCAGAGCCGCGTTCGTCTCCGACCGGTTACACAATTTAACTAGCGCTAAAAGTAAAATGCCCTTTAGGCACAAATTATTATTATATGTAATAAAATGCTAAATAATTTAGATATGTACTCTTGCTCCCGCTTAACCTACAAGAACTCTATTAAAATGCTTCTCTATAATAAATAGTTTACCCTTAATAGTAATACTCACGTACTTGTGTTTCAATATATTTTATTATTTTATACCTCCAATAACGCATGATTGTATTAGTTAAGGGAGCAGCTGTAAATATCCGCGTGCTGTATGTTCATTTTTATTTTTTATTTTGTCTTTTGTTCCTGTTTGTCTCCGATACAGTAAATAAATAAATAAATAAGACCTGCGTACGACCTATTATGTCCTACGCATGCATGACCTTCGTCCACAAATAAACAAAATAGTACAAAATAAGTTCATCCGCCGCGCAACCGGTGCGCAGTGGTATCAACGCAACGCCGACCTGCACAGCGATTACAGACTCCCGATGATTCGCGAGTTTTTAAAGACCTGACTAAACGGTTCTTCGATAGAGCCGAACATCATCCCAACCCTCTGGTGGTAAGCGCAGCAAATTACCAACCCGACACAAACGCGAACGTCAACAAGCGTCGCCCGCGAAACGTCATCGACCCGGTCAAGGAAACTTGTCAATTAATAAAAGATGTAATATGTATACATAATGTGGTGATATAAGGAAAGTGGCTTAGGTGTTCACCTATCTCGAGTATGCTTAATGTGCCAAAATGTTTTATTTGCACTACACATTCATAGACCAAAGGCTTAATTTTTTTAACCAAAAACGGTCGATACTGAAACTTTTCTTCAGTTTAAAAGATTTCTTTAAGAGAAATATAGATTATACCTACTTAATGGTCAAGTACAAACAATTATAACAATTTTAAAATAACATAAAAGTTCATTAAAAGATGGACCTAGTTCTTTTTGTCGGCACTAAAGATCACCGTGAGTAAACATGGTTGCTGTAATCATAAAAGCAATTACACATGAATCAGTAAAGAACGCTTGAGTTCAAACTGAAATGTTAAGCGACTTTAGTTCACAGTACT